GGGGGTTGTTTGGATTGGGAGGGTCGGCTTGGTGGTCGGTAACATTGTGGTGTGAAGCCATGGATCTAGTCGTGACCATCCACCTTAATAGGTGGCAGGAAAAGGTTATTGGAAAAGGGTCTCCGGCGGCAATGAGCACAGCTGGCACGCGAAACAGAAAGGATTCCCACAGACGACGCCAACTAATGATGCAGCGAGTTCCAGATGGAACGGGTCAGACTGATCCACGCTTCCCAAATCAATGCCCAGGGTTCCAAGCCTGCCAGAAGACCTGCACAAGAGTTCAACGGGGAACGGGGAGTCCCCCAGCGAACCCTCCGACAAGCAAGTTAGAAAGAGATATGGAAAATGGAGATAGATTAGAGATAGAAAGCTTAACCTTCTTCTTGTCTTCGACGTCTGCTTATATCCTTTGGTAATCTTTTCGTTGTCCCTTCCGACCTGCTATCTTGGTCGAAAGTCTATGCTTTAGCTTGCCTTGTTCACGGTGAGGCTGTTCTGTCTCGACGGGGAGGGGTTATCGCAATAATGCTGTAAGGGGCTTCATTAATGGCTGATGTGCAGTGCAACAACTTTGCCGGATCTTTATCTGCTTATGTGGCATGTCCCTCACTTGCCACGTGTGTAAGTGTCATTAGTTCTTGATGTCATGTTGAGCTCCAGCAACGCTGGGCTTTAGTAGTTGAATTATACATTAGGCCCTAAGTGGTAGGCTGTATCTTTTATGGCTTACCTATGTCAAAATGAAACATAACATTTAAAAATAGGACTTTCTGAAAAATATCCCATAAACAAATACAAATATATCTTATGTCTCACGTTAATAAATGCATCATTCAATTTCACTAATCTAATCTGGCAATCAAATTTGATTGAACATTGCCAATGGCCATAATTTACAATATGTTTTACTGTTCCGTACGTCCCAATTTAAAAATTCTTCACAATTAAGAAAAAAAAAATGTTTTATTTAATTGATTGAAATGAAATAAAATAAATATAAGAATTATCCTTTAGGTTCTCTTAAAAAACAATTTTGTTTATAATATATTGTTTTAATTGTCAACCAAACAGTATCGAACAATAATTAATCGTCAGGCCTGTCCTCAGCAAATTTTTTTGTTTGTATCAGAGGAAGCGTGGGCATATGGTTTAGGATCTAGCGACGTGGAACATCATTTACCTTTGATGTGTGTGACAAATTGACAGTGTGGTTAGCTCCAAAAACTCCACAAATGTCAGCATTTTATAGCCTCTCGAATTCCTGACAAACTTATGTCTTCTTCTTTTTCTCTCCTTTTAATTCTCATTTGGATCTTTCCTCCGAGTACTCACTCTTCCATGTCCCTCACTCAAACCTACATATATGTCAAATTATTTGTTTAATGTGTTTACCCCCTGTTTCTTTTTCTTCTTCTGTTTTTCAAGAAAAAACATATGATTTGGTACACAAAACTCTTGTTAAAGAAGATTTACAGAGGTTAAAATGTATGCCATCTTTTACCTTTGTGGGTGTCGTATGTTTTACTGCTCAACTAAACCGTCTTTTAGTTATTTTTGTTACATTTACCTTTTATTTTTCGGCCTTCATTTGTAGATCCAAAAAGTCCAAACAATCACTATTGTCTAATACACTTCATTTTGTAGTGACAACCGTAAAGTGTTCCACTTGTGCTATGCATAGGGGTTATTTATAATTATTTATATACATGTGAATGGGGTTTTAAATGTCTTTTTTTTTTTACATAGAAAAAAGGGAGATTTACCAATAAATCCCAAAATTTAAACTTATGAACCAATTGCTCCCATTTTTATTCTATTAAACTGTTTAGTCCCATCTTTCTCCTATCACACACAGATACACACATACATTGTGAGGGGCAGACAGACACACACACACAGATACACACACATATACACACACCCAGACATATACACACACCCAGACACACACACACACAGATACACACACACAGACATATACACACACAGACATATACACACACCCAGACAGACACACACACACAGATACACAGACAGACACACACACACAGATACACACACACAGATACACACATTTCTCTGTTTCACAAATGAGAATGAATCTGTCACTACAGGATTCATAGCCTCACTCGTCTCTCAAAAATTTTGATAACTGAAGAGATCTCCCTACTAGTAATGTGAAAAATAATTGAACCTAAAACAGAGTGGCTTAACTACAAACATCAACATCGCCGTGTTCGACTCCGATTCCAACTCCTCCGCCATCAAAATCCACTCTCTAACCCAATCAAACCCCTCAAATCTAACAGTACACACCATTGTGCATCGTCAACAGTATTTCAACCACTGTTGATGATGAATGCTAATCGCTGGCCCTGATGTTGATGATGAATGTCGATCGCCATTACTGAAACCTCATCTTGATTTTGAAACCCTTTCGTTTTCTCTCTCAACCCAAATCCCAATTCTACGCTACCCGCAGATCCAAATCCAATAGGCTTTGGCGTTGTGGTGGTGTTGATTGAAGCCCATAGACTGAGGATCTCGTTGGTAATTAATTATATGATATCACCCATCTATGTGGATGTATATATATATATATATATATATAATGAATTTGATGAATAATGTTGGATACAGTGTGTGCTTCACATGGTTAATAAAAAAAAATAAAAAAGGATCAAATATGGAAAATAGGATTAACAAGTAACAAACTTCCCCACTGATAGGACTTATCCGAACAAAAGAATAAAGTTGGGACTAATTGGTTTAAGAGTTTATGAAATAGGATTTATTGGTAAATTTCCCTAGAAAAAATAATATAACAAATACAGTATATTTTCAATCAATTATTTTATATTGCTTTTATTCAAAATTTATAACCAAATCAAGAAAAAATTTATTGCTAACAACATTTTTTTACCTCTATTTAATAAAAAAAGTAATCTTGAAAAAGATAGTCAATATAATATTATACATTAAGTAAAAAAATGTGGTTAGCAATTATACTTACATAAATTTATCATAGTTTTAATTTAAATTTTTTTTAAAAAAAAACTATTTTAAAAGTATTTTATTTAACTAGTACCAAATAGAATTTTCTTAGCAAAAAGGAAAGTTATAAAATTTTATTACAAATTTTCAAATGTCTATTGTTAAACATGATTCTTCTTTCATAATGCATCTCTGAATGTATTAGTGAAAATATCACACACTTAAAATATACAAAATTACAATATATAGAGAGAGAGAGAAAAAAGTAATGACCAAAACTAAAACTATTTTCAAAAAAAAAATAAAAAATAAAAACAAAAATTAAATTGTTTGAAATAGAAAATGATTTATTTATTTATTTATTTATTAATTTTTAAAAATAAAGTTTTAAAGAAAAACAAAGAAAACTATATTAAAAAAAAAGTACATAAACCAAACATAAAATATAATACAAAAAACAAATAAATTATGGGATTTTCAAGAAGTCTTGCTTGATCTTGGCATGATACTTCTTTCTAGTGCATCTCCAAGTGTATTAATGAAAACATCATACACTTAAAATGCACAAAATTACAATATATAGAAGGGAAAAAAAGTAGGTAATTGCCCAAAACTAAAACTATTTCAAGAAAAAATAAAAAATAAAAACAAAAATGAAATTGTTTGAAATAGAAAATAATTTCTTTATTTATTTTTATTTTTTTTAAAATAAACTTTTAAAGAAAACAAATAAAATTATATAATAAAAAAAGTAAAGAAACTAAACATAAAATATAATACGAAAAATACTGAAATAGAAAATAATTTCTTTATTTATTTATTTTTTTTTTAAAATAAACTTTTAAAGAAAACAAATAAAATTATATAATAAAAAAAGTAAAGAAACTAAACATAAAATATAATACGAAAAATACATGAATTATAGGATTTTTAAGAAATGAGACTCACAAACAGATTTTATAAAATTTTATTTATTCATATATTTTTTGTGTATGTTTTTTGTACTTCTAATCTCGAGAATGACATTAAAATAGTCTGCATTTTTTGCATTAAGTCCATCTAATAGTTTTAGCAAATACAACTGTAACAAATTTCATAACACAAAATACAAATAATTGTGAGACAAAATATCAAAAAAATGAAACCAATGTTCAATGAGGATGTAAAAGCACACCTGACGTTTTAATTGGAGGTGTAACGAAATAAAACGCCATAGAAAGGGAAACAATCTTTATTTTTCATCACAACAATTACATAACTCAATATATAATTTTAATATCTCTCACTCTTTTGCAAGTCTAATTTTCTATCAATACTAAAATGAATGCATGAAACAAAAAAGGGAGACATTTGAGAAAATAAAGAGATGCGATTTGAAACCTTTCAATTGATGAATTCTATTAATTGACAGTTATTATGCTTCAATGGTCGAGTTTCCAATATTTGTTAGCCATTGAAACTGAGTTATTTAGTTTTATCTATATTCACTTGATAATTTGAGAGTAAACACGTATCAAACCTTTATACAAACACTTAGCACATTTTTTGAGCATTATTAATAAAATGTACAGTATAATTTTTTTTCTCTTTTTTTTCGGAATTGTAACCTGTTATTTTTCAATAAGAATTTATATTTATTTTAGATATTTTTTTAATATACAAAGTATTTTTTTAGATATTTTATAAAAATAATTTAACAATCTCATTACTAATCATAGTGTATGAGTATCAAATTAGTTAGAGCATGTGAAATTGTGGAAGTTGCAAATGAGAAGGGGGCATTTTGGTCATTTTACACTATGCCATGATGATATGACAACATAAAAAATTATTAACTAAAAAAAACCAAAAAGTCACTTTTTACCAACTTCCCAAATCATTTGTCTAAAAAAATCAAAAGCTTAGTTAAAAGTCAAAAAGTCACTTTTTACCATCTTCCCAAAACAACCCTATATAATAGATGTGGGAAGGGTAAGACGTGCATTCTGATAATCATATAATGTCATTTATCTTAGGGCCCCAAAAAGGGTATAATATCAGTACGGCTGACGATAGTTCCAACTTGAATTACAGCCAATCATCATCGCTTCTCTCTCCTACCCTTTCATCGTTTTATCTCTATATTTTATGGTGAGCTGGGAGATCCAAACACCTGTTGCAATTTACAAAAAACAGAACCAAATACTACTTTTCCAGCAACATTCTCAGGTATGCAATCTCTACCCATTCCTCAATTCCTCCTTTGATTGTGTATCCTCAAAACCAAAACCATGTTGCATAGTTTAAGACTGTTCAGAAATGGTATGTCAATTTGCTTTCCTTCTGATGATTAACTGAAATCTAAATTGTGATATTGTTGCATGAAAACCCACAAAGTGGAACCATTAAATTGGAAGTTTAAATTTTTTTTTTTTTTTTTGTTTAAGGGGGGGGGTGTTACTGTTTCTTGATATGAGTGAGGAATTTAATTAGGTTCATCTAAATGAGTATTTTAGCAGGTTGGAATGGACAGAGGAGAGCTTGGCAGTGAGAGGAGAACTGGGAAAGTTAAAGCAGTAGCTGGTTTGTTTGGAGAAAGAATTACTGAAGCCAATTCTACACTGAAGAAGCCCCAAATGGACAACTCAAAGGTAATAATGCAAAGAACTATGAATCTCCTCTATATTGTTCACGGTGAAACAATGCAACCCATTTGGATTTCTTTCGATAAGATATTTCCTTTTTTATGTGGCGCTTGTTCGAGTCACAAAAAGAGTCTGCCCAGAATTACGGATAGAGGTTGTATTATATACAACTCGAAGCACGGATGTGAATATTATTAGATAAATTGATAGAGAGAGAGAAAAAATTATGTATATATTGATGTATTGAATGTTAAGTGTGTTTATTACAAATGGTGAGGGGCTCCTTATATAAGAGAAAATACAATCCTTACAGACAATGGACAATGATGGCTCATGATGGAAAGTAAAGCACTAGCACCTAAAGGCACCGAAAGGGAGGCTCACTATCTACTAATATATTATATACTCTAACAGCCCCCCTCAAACTCAAGGAGAATAGGTACAAACCGACTTGAGTTTGGAAATGAACAAAATGTGAAAATAAACTAATACATGAATAAAAGAGGATAGTAGACACTGTATGGTCGTGTCAGACCGTTAGTGAAGACACGGTATGGTCGTGTCGGACCATGGTAGCAGGACAGTTTACGGGGTCATGTCGGACCGATGTAGAAGCTGACCGGAATCAATGTCGGGACAGTTTACGGGGTCATGCCGGACCGTTGGAAAAGCTAACCGGAATCAAATGTCGGGACAGTTTATGGGGTCATGTCGGACCGGTGGAAAAGCTAACCGGAATCAAAGTCGGGACAGTTTTATGTGGTCATGTCGGACCGTTGTAAAAAGTCGCACCCTCAAAAGGTGTGCCCAATCTTTCAAAAGGTGTGCCATCAAAAGGCGTGCCCAATCCATAAAAAGGTGTGCCGGACATGATGGCGAGGCGCGTGACTACCTTGGCTTGCGCGCCCGTTTTGTCGTCTGGCGTCAAGTGGCGCGCGATGCGCGTATCGGCCCTGGCTATTTAAACCAAGGTTGAGGCGGAGGCTGTGCAAACCAGTCTGAAACCTCTGAACATTGGCATTCTGAAACACTCTGTAAACACTCTGTAACCAACCCGTCTCTGAAACACTCAGCAACCATAACATGGCCTCTTTCTTCCCGTCCAGCTACCCAGAACATGGCATCCTCTTCCCGTGGTCTGCTCACGCTCTTTCCAGAACTGAACGAGTCCACAAGAGAAATAACTGGGGCGGTGGCCAGTGAACCTCAACCAAACACCTCTGGTTTTGCTCCGTTGAACTTTCCGATGCGGTCGGTGGAGCAAAAAATGGCAGTGCAAACGGATATTGAGCAATCAGTATACTTTGAAGTCATGCGTGGAGACCATGACTGCGGTCACAAACTTGTCGCACCGGCTTCAGAGTAGGACAAATGAGGGCAGCAGTTTTAAACGCCCAACTGGCTCTGCTCCAGCACATGTATAAGGATGCGCGAGCAGAGATAAGTGTGCTAAAGGCGGAAAATAAGAAGCTGAAGCGGAAGCCACCGTGATGTTCCGATTTGGAGGACCGCCATATGCTGCAGTGGAGGAAGCAGGAGTAGTGATCGTGCCCAGTGGAGTGGGAAACACGGAGGCACACCGTCAATGGCCGCCAGGACGGCAGGCAAGAAGAAGAGACGGCGGCAGAGTAGAGAAGAAAAAATCCCGCCTGTGGATGTGGTTGTTGTAGTATTTGGTTTGTGTGTGTGTTTTTTTTTTTTTTTTTTGGTGAAAATGTGAGCGGGGTGAGCCCCAACATGAATAAAATGAGTTTTGGTGTCAGTTCTTCTGCTTCTGTGTTTAGTTTTTTTTTTTTTTTTTTTTGGAAAAAATGAAGAGAAAATAAATAAATAAAGTGGTAATAACTCACGTTTTTGTTCAAACCAACACATGATAGTGCCAGCCATTATACTGAAAGTGGGTAATGCACAGATGAAACAATATATTTAAACAAAAATAAAATGGAGGTGGGTGGATGTTGATTAAACAAATATGAAGATATGATGAAAGGGATTTGAATATGTGAGCTGATATATTGATAGGATATATGATAATAATAAAAAAATATGTATATATAAGAAAAGAAAACAAAGTTGAAAAGAGTGGGACCATGCTGACCGGATATGTGAATGGTGAATGATTTTTTTTTTTTTTTTTTTTGAAGATAAGAAAAGGGAACAAGACCATGTGGCCAGAGCCTTTGCTGAGGGCAGAGTTTCATGGGAAATTGTTCACCACGAGTGTATGGAACTGAGACTGGTATAGACCGTGTTTTGTTCCTTGAAACAAGAGGAAAGGGGCAGGGGAAAATGAAGAGGAGAGTGGTGTTTGGTCAGAGTTGGTGCGTGAGAGAGAGAGAGAGAGAGAGAGAGAGAGAGAATATTGGTCTCGGCTAGAGAGAGAGAGAGAGAGCGCTTCGGAGTAGAGTCTGACCGTGCTCTAATGCCGTGTGTGTCTCCATTGTGTGTTCATGTTTCATGTTGATTTCAGCCCCTCTGTATGTCTTCCATGGAGTGGAGAAAAAGATGGTGGGTCGTTGGGTGTGCTGGGTCTCCCTCTCTAAAACCGTGTGTGATGAATGGTCTGTTGGGTCTGCCGTGTATCTGGTGTGTGCGCAGGCCACACCGCGTTATGGGCGCGTGGCCAGCACTGTCGCGGCTGGTAGCAACAGTGAGGTCGCAGATGTCGGACACAAGGCACGCAGGTCGTGCGAGCTGGTGGTTGCGCGCAGGGCAGGTGCTTTTTTCCTCCTAAAGCAACCAACAACCGTGATACCGCAGCAGAGTTGTTGTCGGAGCTGGCCAACCGTAGCAGCAGTAGTGGTGTCGCAGACGAGTCGGCGTCGGCGTTGGTCGGCGAAATCGAGCTCCGATGTGCCTAGATCTCTGAGGAGTTGCGTCGCTAAGCCGAAGTACAGCACCGATGGTGAAACAGAGCCTCTCTGAAAATGTTGAAATATGTTGAAATCTGGGTTTGTCTTGGAGAGAAAGAGTCAGCTCCGTAATGGCAGCACTTGGAGTAGTCACAGCCAATGTGCAGGAGTCGTTCAGTAGTCACAAAACAAGCTAGGCAAGGTGGCCTTTGGGTTTGGCAGCCGCGGGCTCCGATTGAAGAAGAATAAAGCTGGGCCAGTTTTGAGGAAGAAGAAAGAAGCTTGATCCCTCTGTTCCTATCGGGAGGAGGGGTTTAGTAGCAGCGGAGTCAGGGTATGTGTAGAGGTCCGGCGGGCGGCCAAGGCGAGGCTGCCGCCCGCCGGTGAAACAGAATGACTAGGTTCTTAACCTAGCTCTGATACCATATTAGATAAATTGATAGAGAGAGAGAATAAATTATGTATATATTGATGTATTGAATGTTAAGTGTGTTTATTACAAATGGTGATGGGCTCTTTATATAAAAGAAAATACAATCCTTACAGACAATGGACAATGATGGCTCATGATGGAAAGTGAAGCACTAGCACCTAAAGGCACCGAAAGGGAGGCTCACTATCTACTAATATATTATATACTCTAACAAATATGAATATTGGTATTAGTATGATACAGATACGTCAATATGGTAAAATTTTTTAAAAAAATTAGGTATACATACATCTTGGTACGTTTGTTAAAAAAAATTTATTTATTTTTAATTTAGAGTAGTAAAAAATTGATTAAATGGTTTAATTTTTTAAAATCCAATCTATAATTAGGAGTGGTTTGGAATGATCTAAATAAGTGTACTTTTTGACTTTTTATGAAATATGGGTTGGATTTGAACTGATGTGAGAGAGAGAGGTGATGTGACTTAAATAAGATGATGTGACTTAAATAGGATAGTGATTTTTTGACTTTTTTAAGTTATGACAAGCAAATTTAATGCCAAAAGTAAAGATATAAATCAAAATTAAATTCAAAAAAAAGTAAGGTACGTATAATTTTTGGTATGTTTGTAAAAAAATATTTATTTTTAATTTGGAATAATGTAAAAATTAATTAAATGGTTTAATTTGTTAGGATCCAATCTACAATTAATATTTAATGTCAAAATAAAGATATAAATAAAAATTAAATATTATTATATTAAGTAACTTTCAAATCATAAGTTAATTTTAAAATCATAAAACTAAAAATGAAAAAGAAATTTATTGAAATGAATTTTATCTTGTAGTAAAAGAAAATATTGTTTCGACTGAAATATGGTACGGCTTGAGTATGTAATAAGTACGTCTGAGTCTGCCAAAAATTAAGAAAAAAAAATTTAGATATGTATTTCGTGTACCCAGTACGTATGTAGGGTACTTTATAGGTACTATATAAAGTATCATATACCGGGAAGTATCTTGTACAGGGACAACATATTTTTTATGATATTCATACTTCATAGCAACTCGCTCTGCCCAGACCCCGTTTTGGCAGGAGCCTTGCGCACTTTCATTTTTTTTTCATTTGTTTTTGAGTCTAATGTTAGTTTCAAATTCATCAGAGACCCTCTTCAACGAGAAGGGACCTTCATCGGGCAAAGAGAGACATTGGTCGGTTCGATGAGAGCAGAAGAGTTGCAGAGACCATAAAAGCCCAAGCAGAATCTGAGCTTTCCAACGCGAAGAAGACAGTGACGGATCTGACTTCAAAAATTGAAGAATCCAATTTGAAAGCAAAAGCGCAGAAGCATGACCTGGAAAGGTTGTGGAAGTTGAAAAAGGGGGACGAAGAGTGGGCATTGGCTGTTGGGAACCTTGAGAACCATAAGTATGCAGAAGTGATGAGAGAATTGGAGTATGTAAAGCAGGAATTGAGTAAACTCAAGCTTGACATGGCCTCTGTTTTAGAAGAAAGAAATCGAGCAGAGAAGGAAATCGCAGCCTCAAGTTCAAAAATCTCATCTTATTTGAGCTCTGCACAAGCGCTTACAAAAGAGATTGAGGAGGTAAACGAAGAACATGTGCTGGTAGAATTGGCTCGGATTGAGGCTGTCAAAGAATTAGGAGCCATTGAAGCTCAAAGAAAGGAAGAAGCTGAACAGTTCCCTTTTACAATGGAGAACACCAGAAAGAAAATAAGTGATGTACTCCAAGAAATTGACTGCGCAAAAGAGACTGAAATGAAACTGGCCGTCACAACATCTGCTGGCAACGTGTTACAGAATGAACTAGTGCTGGCTAAGGGAATGGACAAAAGGGTCCAAAGAAAAGAGAGCTTTAGGCATCTCGAGGGCAGTTTTCGTAAAGGAAAGGAATTGGAGTCTCCATTGACGTTACAGTCAATCACAGAAGAATTGGAGGCAGCGAAGAAAGAATTGGTATCGATTAGAGAAGAGGGTTTTCAGTTCATGGCCTCCATGGATGTCATAAGAGATGAGCTCAAACATATATCTCAAGAAACAGCAAGATTGAAGAAAACAGAGGAAAAGGCAGATGCTACTGTTCAAAATCTCAATTCGAAGCTCCTCAGGGCAAAAGCAAAATTGGAAGCTGTATCTGCGGCTGAGGAAAAGGCAAAAACAATGGTATCCAATCTATCCCTCACTCTGGAACAATTGAAAACAGTAGCAGAGGCAGCGAAAAAAGAGAGGAAGCTTATTTGTGAAGAAACCAGAAACATAAAAGTAGAAGTTCAGAAAACCGAGTCTGAGATTGACTCAGCAGAAGAAAGGTTTCAAGCTGCAATGCTAGAGCTTGAAGCTATTAAATCGTCAGAAGCAATGGCTCTTGAGAACTTAAAAACTCTCACTGAGAATACAATGAGGTCTAGAGCTTCTGCATCTCAGCACAGTTCCACAATAACAATCTCAAAATTTGAATACGATTACTTAACCGGGCGTGCAGTTGGGGCAGAAGAAATTGCACATAAAAAGGTTGCAGCAGCTCAGGCATGGATTGAAGCTTTGAAGGCAAATGAGAAGGAGATATTAATGAAAACAGAGATGACTCAGAGAAAATTAAGAGAGCTAAAAGTAGAGGAAGAGCGAGAAACCTACAAAGCAGAGAAGTCAGTTTCTGCTGGGAAAGTGGTTGAGGGAGAGTCACGGAATTGGAAGGAAAAACAAGAGAAAAACTCAGAACCTGAAAAGTCACGGCTTGAGGGGACATTGCCTAGAAAATCCATGAAAGAGAATGGGAGTTTAACACCAGCAAGAAGGGCGAAATATAGAAAATCTGCATCACCTGTAATTCGGCACATGACTAAATCGGGTTCTGTCACTGTTAGGAGGAAGAGAAAGGTTATGCCAAATATAGCCAAGTTCTTTAATAACAAGAGCAATGAGACGGATCGTTGAGCTTTTGAAGACTAGATATCAACACTCGTGCATATGCACTGCATCAATTTGATTCCAGTCAATAAAATGAAATTACAAATAATTTTTTTATCACAACTTGGAAGCTAACAACTTGGTCGCCAATTGTTTCTCGAAGTGCTCATCTTCTATTTTTTCCTTCCATAACCTAAAAAGTGTGAAGTTTAGTGTGTGAGAACTCCATGTAAAACAGTAGAATTTGTGTGCTGTGCCAATAAGTAGTCGAGAGTTCATCAAAATTCTCAAAGGTTCTGATATGATCTAGTTTGGGGATGTGTATTAATTCTATCTTGGCAAGTGATTTTTTAGCCAAAAAGTTAAAAAGTTACTAAAAAAATCAAAAAGCCAACAACTTATACTAAAAAGTCAAAGATTTCCTTTTCTCTCTACTTTTTGTATATTTTTTTGTAAAAAGCTAAAAAGTCATCCTAAACATACTAGTTTTTTTTTACGTCATATTTTAGCTAAAAAGCCAAAAAATTACTAAAAAAACTTATTCCCAAACGAGGCCTAAATTTTGTGTTTAGCTAATTCCCAATCATCAGCCCTCAAATCAACCAAAACCAATCACCTCAACCAATTCAAAATTTTGCAACATTCACTCAGACAGAATCAAAGAAAGGAAGCACATTATGAATGCATGTCGCCATTGGAACAACAACTATGAGACAATTGAAATACAAAATGATTGTGTTATAAGCCATAATTGAAAGGAAAAAAAACAAAAACTTTAAAACATATGTCCAGTGTCTTACCCAAAATTTTAATCATTTGATCCATTTTGCTTGATGTAAGCCATGCCTGTCAGTTTCCCCTCAGTCAAAGGCATCATTTTGTTGATCGAATAAAACTAGGCTGTAGGCTGTCCACATAAGCGACTACATACAACGGCGAATGAATTACAAGATCCTAAATTGCTGCTTCTCAATGTCCCATGAATAAAGCTCTCCATTCTATTCTCTTTGCAATAGAACAAGCACTCTGTTAATCCCAACACTAAACGGAAAAGGGGGAAGGGGGTATAGAGAGTTGAACTTTCAACATGATGTGCACCACATCAAACACCAACCACTGGACTGGGCGGCAAGCTCAAAGAACATAATATGTTGGTCCCATTAACAAGGGTGTTGGGAGGGGTAAGGTTAAAGACAGCCCTAAAAGCCATTTGAAAACTAGACAGTAGGCTCATCTAGCAATACTAGTAATAATGCCTGAATTTCGGCATGCACTTGATTATCTCGAGTTGATATGGTCCACCATTCCAGACAATCCGTCCCTATACACAACCAGCAGAAGCATCCATTCCAGTTCATATTAAGGAAGTCAAAATGTAAAATAAACCTTTGGAACTATCAGCCCAGAAGTCTGCAGCTATATTCACGGGTGACCAACAAGAGACACTTGAGCAGAAAAAGGGAAGTTCTTATGTAGATCAATAACTGAAACATTTAATGAACAAACAAATACTTGTATTGTTGTATACAACTTTCACTACATAATCTCATACATTCCATATCCATCCAGGAAATGAACAACATAACACACTCAGAAAAAAACAAAGACAATCCACATGCTTATTTTTTCTTAGACACACAACATAAACAGATAACAAATAGTGAACAGTAAAGGAACAACAGGTAAAATAGGCAAACATCTCCTACAAAATTGCTTCTTTCAGAGCAACAAAACTTCATTGCGGCTGTGGGGTTCCAACCTGCTGCTTAACATTGTCTGCGTGCGGCTGCTTCGAAGCCTCTGATAACAGTAGTGTTCCAGCATTATTCATGGTTTGGAACTGTGAAAGCAATGCAGGCACAGAAGGTTGAGTTTTGTATATTGGATTGTATGCAAGATCATCCTCGTATTCATTATCGTAATTAGCGGTAGCTATTGCAGCAGTGGCAACAGATTGGGATGGATGAGGTGTCTCAGAAAGATCCATCAATGGTTGAAGGTTTTGATTAGATGGTACTTGAACGAGTGGGGTTGCTCCCACCACTGTCCTGTAAACTTTTGTGGTCAATTCAGGTGCCATGACCTCTTTATAAGCTGCCGGAGGTGTGATAACGGATGTAGGAGGAAGCATTTGGGGTTGACTCGGAGCAGTAGTTGCAGTGTCAACTAAATTACATTGCATAGACATATTATAAGATTGTGGAGGCCTAACAGGCATTAAGTAAACTGGGTATGGCTGATTTGTCTGATAAGGGTTATGTGTCTGCTGCTGAAGCATAGTTGAATAATACATGGGATAGTAAGATGAGACTGGCATGGGGCCTGCAGAGTATTGAGGTATGTAATGGGCACCTGCTTGAATATATTGTTGTTGGTGCTGCATCTGCATCTGATCTGATTGCAAAGATGCTTGATGGATGGGAACTTGAACAGTTTTCAGCATCTGAATTGCAGACGCCGGATCACTGACAATATTCTCTGTTTCCACAGCCCGAGAATAAACCCTGGTTTCCATTGAAGGAACATGAACAACCGAGTCTAGATACTGTGTAGTCTGTGGGTGAGACATAGGACTTGCAATACTGTTATCACTGTCAAATTCAAGAATCAAATGTATAATTCAGAACCTCATGATAACAAACTCGAAAAGGAAAAGGTTCTTGTCTCCATCTGCTTGGTTACTAAGAAAATGATGGTACAGGAAAGAAGATAACTGAACAAAATTCCAAGTCTCTAGCCAGTTAGGTTTGGATCATAGATTTGGGTAGGAATTTGGAAATGGAAACAGAAAAAATAATAGAAATGAGAAAAAATTTAACTTATATTTTATTCATATTTACCTCACATTTTTCATTCCCTTTCTAAATAATACCTACCCATTCACATGATCCAAACACAGCCTTAATGCACCACGCATTATTGCAGATGAATTTCTACAGTATTCGGTCCTCGATGACATCTAGATTCATATATTCAGTTCTTCTATTTCCCACATTTTTTTTTCCCAGCAAGCAACAAGGATGAAAGAGCAATATAAACAGAGAGAAGCAGAAATTGAGATTACCTGTGTTCCATGAAAATGAAAAGCTAAACCAAATTAAGCCACATGGTTTAATAAGGTTATTGAGTAAACAATTTATTCTAAATGATTATAATAAAAATCCAATCTTTTCTTTTCCCAAATTTTCTCAGCAACCAAACAGATGAAGAAATAGTTTCAAATAGGCACCAAAAAACTAAAACATACCTTTCAACCGAACCTGGTGAGGCCACTTTAATCTTCTTGTCCTGAAAATTGACACCACCATCGTCCCCATGAACGCCTATGGGAGGCAAATTCGACATCGAAATCGAAGAACCAGTCGACCCAAACGACGAACTAGTCTCCAACACCATCGATTCAGGCACAGAACTCAAATCCCTCAAACTCTCAACCTGAGCCTCCACAGATGAATCAGAAGGGGCCCCACGGTCAAGACCCATCAACCCATTAACCAATTCCGAATCAGCAGATTGTCCCCTCTGCATGATCTTCGTACTCTTGAGCGCATCGCAGAACCAAGATTCAGCCTTGGGGTCGAGAATCGCCGACCCGACAGACTCGGGCTTGGAGGGGAAGAGGAACAATCGGATGCGGGAGGGTGTAAGGGAGCATGAGATGCGGTCAAGCTCTTCGAGCATGTTGTGGAGGTCCTCATCGGTGGTGACGGAGATGAGGGAGTCGAGGTCGTCGTTGGGGAGCTGGTATTTGAGGAGGAAGGGGCGGTTGTTGTAGAGGGTGCGGGAGAGATGGGAGGTGAGAGAAGAGAGGGTGGTGGCGGTGGTGCGGCGGTCCACGGCGACGATGCGGGTGTCGCCGCCGGCGTAGCAGAGGCACTTGGCGTGTGGACGGGGGACAATGTGGCCGCCGTAGCTGCACATCAGGCGGAGCTTGGCATTGGACGTGTTTGGGAATGAATCAACCGAGTCATCGGTGGCGGTGGCGGCTGAGAAGATGATTGGCGGTTCCATGGGTGGTGGTGGTGGGGAGTGAGATCTGGGTTTGCGCCGTTTTAGGAGAGAGAGGGAAAGATGCAGGGTGGGAGAGCGTAGTCTTATAATAGAGAGCTTTTTTAAAAAAGTGTTCCAGCATTATTCATGGTTTAGTATTCACTTTTTTGGTTTCCATTTCCAAAATTTATTTTTCAAAAAAATTCTATTTTTCCATTTTTTGTATTTTTTCATTGAATTTTTTTAATTTTGTAAGTAATTTTTTTTTAATTTTAAGACACACCTAACATAAATACATTTAAAAAGTATAATATTTGTAAAAATAATCTTTAAAAAATTCAATAAATACCAAAAATATAAAAAAAAAATTAAAATTCAGTACATTTTTCATATTTTTATGTATTTATTAATTTTTTAAAATAATTTCTCACAAATATTTTACTATTTAGATACATCTAAGTAATGTGTATTTAAAAAAATAAATAAATAATTGTTTAAAATTTTAAAAATATTCACTAAAAATAAAAATAAAAAACAAGAAAACCAAAAAAATTCAGTTTTAAAAAAACTTAATTCAAAAAACTCAAACCAAACACACTGATAATATTTAGAGAATTAACCCACTTTTCAAACTATTTAAAAAACTAACTTACTTTTTGAAATCGCATTTAAAAATGTGATTTTGAAATTGAAATTGTATATTCAACATGCAATTTACAAGTTGAAAATGTAATTTATGATGACATGATGAAATTGCATTTTTAACATGCGATTTCAAGATGAAATTGCATATTGAAAATGTAATTTCAATTTTAAAATCGTATTTTCAAAATGTGATTTAAAAAATAGATTAGTTTTTCAAATAATTTGAAAAATAAGTTAATTCTCTAAATAATTTTTTTTAGAATATTAAAAAAAAAAACTCTATAATAGAGGGTTTATTTTGGTAAGTAATTTCGGTGTCGGTCCTCGATGACATCTAGATTCATATATTCAGTTCTTCTATTTCCCACATTTTTTTTTCCCAGCAAGCAACAAGGATGAAAGAGCAATATAAACAGAGAGAAGCAGAAATTGAGATTACCTGTGTTCCATGAAAATGAAAAGCTAAACCAAATTAAGCCACATGGTTTAATAAGGTTTTTAAGTGAAAAATTGTCTTAAAATATTTTTAATAAATGAAATTCTATTTCCACATCATATAAAATCTCAATATATATTATAAATAACATTTGAATATAAATACTTTTTTTTAAATAGGAAATAAAATTTTTACTACAAAATTGATAAAAGATCGGATATTAAAATTTTGATATAAAGTTACAAACAAAAATAAATTATTAAAATATATATTCCGTTCAATTGTTTATATCCGAATAACTATTTTATGTTCATAAATTTATATTTAAAAAGTTAATTTTTGTTCAGAAATTTATATACAAACGTACTGAAATTTTGTATAGTATATAAATAGAATTACTCTTTTAATAATTATTTTTAAATAATGGACCATTCATGTTTAGGAGTGACACAAAATAACAACAAAAGACAAAAATAAATAAATAATATATAACATATAAGAAAATTCTATTATACATGCCTTTGAAAATGATGTACCATATGTATATATAGTTATGTCATTTACTTATAACATATAAGAAAATTCTATTATACATGCCTTTGAAAATGATGTACCATATGTATATATAGTTATGTCATTTACTTTTTTTAGTTATGACTAATTTTTTTATTTAATTATGACTTATAAGATCTTTAATTATATTTCATGTGGTGTTTGGTGATGATAATTTTTTTTTAATTATAACTCAAAAAGTATAAAATAATATTATTTTTTTCTTTAATTATAAGGTATATATGATATGTACATCGTCTTTCCTAAGATATATCACTAAAATAGTTTGTCGATACTTTTCAAGTAAAAGTGGTAAAATAAAATTAATGATAAATAAGTTTTAAGATTTTTCTTACTACTATCAAAGGATTAATTATTAGTAGAGAAATTCTATCATACATATCCATACTATATACACTTTTAAGTTATGTTCAATTTTCTTTTTTTAATTATGAATAATCTTCCTTAATTTTTTTTTTTTCTTCTTAGGAATACGTCCACACCCCACCACGATTTGCATATATAAGCAAAATTTAAAAGACATTTTAAAAATTATTTAAATTTGATAAGACCAATTCAAAGTCGGCTGGATAAACTAGTAAGTTTATATAAAAAAAAAGGTCAACTTATTTAAATTCAATTAAATTAATTCAAAATCTAGTCAAATCAATTTTATTTTTTTTTAGAAGCTTTAGAAAAATTACCATGAAAATCTTGAAAACAAATCAATGGTTTAAATTTATTTTTTATACGCACATGTCAAATGAGTTTTCACTACATATTATGTTTTTTAGATATTTTTGAGTAAATTTTCTAAGTCCCTAACATGACTATTTTTTGGAAAAATAACAAATCAGTGTATGTTAGGGAAAAAATTCAAACTAATGATAAATTTTAATTATTAAGATCTTTTTTTTCTGAGTATATAATTATTTTGAGAAAGTACAATTGATTTATAATTTTTTTTAGTCCATTAAATTTTTTAAATCAATTTTTAACAATTTATTATGACTCAATTCACAATAAATAAATACACTTGAAATCGCGGCACACGTGTTACACGTAGGCCTCTTTTGGCAAGAGGTAAAAAATTAATTTTTTTAGCTTTTAATGTCATATCACTTCTTTATTTTTTTATATATTTTTTCAAAAACAATTTGAAAAAAAAAAGTTAAAAAACTAACTTTTAACCTATTTCTAAAACAACCCCTAGCTAGTGTGAAGGAAGCAATAATCATTTACTTTGGCCTAGTTTGGAGAGATAATTGGGTTAAATAGTTCACTAAAAAATAAAATAAGTTAAAATAGTTAATAAGATAAAATATCACATCTAATTCATAATCATTTTATTTTTTTCTCTCACAATTATCAAATCAACTAAAAAAAAAATCAACTTCTCGAACACAACTTTTTTAATTAAGTTAAAATAGTTAAAAAGTCAAATAGTCAACTTTCCAAACAAAGGCTTTACAATTTTATCAATAAATAAATGGGAAAGACTATGGTACACACTACTCAAAGGGTGTGTACCACATGTATCTTTATAACTGTGGGTGTTGCTTTTTGACCTCACAACTAAACAAATCTTTTTACAAAGATTTAAAGAACTTAGCTAGTGAATGCGCGACAGAATAAATTAAGCTCAATACCTGCACGCAAGAAAGTAAGAACCATAGTGGCTCGTCTACTCGAGACATTCCGACGATTAAGTCAATCAAACAATTTCACAAGATATCAGCACAAGTAAAACATCTCTCAATCAAAGCGTACTTTAGACCCATGTGGTGCTCTCTTTATATAATGATTAGTGTCCAACTTCCCCTAAAAGTCTTACTTCATTAACTCTATCATTTACAGATATCACTTATTTAACGCTTCTCTTATTTAGATTAGAATGAATTTTCTTAAGAGTCTCATTTCTCTTCAAACAGAGAGCCTGAAACAATCTAAGACTCTTATTTCTCTATCCGAATATATCGGATTCAGATATGATTACATCATATCTCGACGACTTGGTCCATCCACGGGGTATCTTGACCAACAACCACGGCCACGTGAACAACCCAAAAAATGTCCTTACAATAACTACAAAATAAAATAGTATAATTTCATATTTTCTAAGTCATAATTAAAAAATAATAATTATAACTAAATACAAGAAAATCATAACCAAAATCTAAAAATAATGTCATAACTAAATAATAAAATAACATAATTAAAAGTATATATAGTATAAAAGTGTGTATAATAGAATTCTCCAAAATTAAATAAACAGTAAAGATTTAATTTTGTTTAATACTTTTAATTTAATAAAGAGTTATATAACTTTTATTTATTGTTCATATAATAGTACAGACAAATATTATAAAATTATATTCATCATATCTGAAGATAAATAAGTAAATAAATAGATTCACACAATGTAAGAAAATAATAATAATAATAATAATAAAACACACTACATATATTAAAATAATCTTATTTTTTAGGATAAATTACACTCACCTACTTTAAAGTTTGAAAAAATTACAATTAGTCTCACACTTTTTATATAATACAATTTCTAATAATTAATGTTATTATATAAAAAATATGAGATCAATTATATTTTTTTTTTCAAAACTCAAGAAAGATGAGTGTAATTTACCATTAGTTTTCTATTAATCTATATAGCAACGATAACCATACAATAATTAAATTTTGGTTTCAAATTTCTTCTATCACTTTATTTGGTAGTAATATATCACAGTTCATATGAGAGAAAGAAATATTCTTATGTAAAATAATGTATTTAGAATTTAATACTTAACAAGTTAGAGCTAACCGCATCCCTAGCAGCCTACTTAAATTTTATCCTAAAATACTATTAAAAAATTCATTCTCTATTTTAAGAAGTACTTTTTCATTTACTTCTTCTAACAAACTCTCTATTCTTTCTCTATTCTATTAAAATAATCTTTCTAATTGTTTTTAAATTTGAATATTTTTTTAATAATAAAATAATTAAACAAAAAGCAGAAGAAAGCAGAAGCAAGCATTGTTAAAAAAAAAAAAAAAATTGGCGAATATGAGAAGAGCTCTCCTGCTTAGACCATCTCTAACGGTTCACCAAACCTGGCATCAAATTTGAAATTTGGTGGAAAAGGCACTTTTTGAAGCTCCAACGGTTTTATCAAACTGGTATCAAATTGAGAATTAAACAAAAAAATCATCAAACTGAGAACAGGATACAGAGTTCAGCAAATTACTGTTTGTGACCGTTGAAGGAAAGGAACCGGTCAACCAGCCGGTTGCCCGGCCGGTTGACCACTAAAAGGTTCAAACAGTTCAAATGGGTTGGTTCAAACAATTCAAAAAATATATATATGTATATATATTTTTGCCTTACCGGTCGACCACTAAAAGGTTCAAACAGTTCAAATAGGTAGGTTCAAACAATTCAAAAAAAAAA